GGGGGTCACGCTGGGGCAGCGAGCGAAGAAATGCCGTGACGAGAAGCGATGAGGGCGAAATGAAAGGTCTTCTATGTTGCTGGGGGGGGGGGAAAAAAAAGCAATAGTGCAAGAAATCCCTGCAAGGGTTTTCTGTGAGCAGCAGGTGGAGAATTGGTGTGATTTTGTGCGGGTCCAGTGAACAGGTCCTGTTTTTTTCCCCGTGCAGGTGTGAGTGAACCGACGCTGTTCAGCTGCGAGGCTCACAACAGGAAGGGGCTGACTGCCTCCAGCCCGGGGCAGGTCAACGTGAAAGGTAGGAGGGAACACAATACTCACACTCACTGTACCTGTTGACTACCTGTGCCCAAGCAGGAGATTCCCCCGTCTCCACACTTCCTAACGCTCACTTTACACCAGCTGAAGGAGATGTTTGTAGGACTCACGTGCTTATTTTCCCTCGTTTTAAACCTATATTTAAAATCGAGCGGGATGCACGTAGCAGCGGTTCTGTCATCCCAGTGTTGCCGCCGTGGGAGGAAGCACCAAAAAACACATTTGAAAGCAGAACTGTCAGCCCCAGAGCAGGTTTCGGAAGGGCTGTATCACTCTCTTCCTTCCTTCGCAACCCGGGTGGTGCTCACAATTTTCCATAGGAAATGATGAAAATTCTTGACATTCCTGACGGAGGCCACTCCGGCAATGTGAGGAAGGTGTTCCCCAAAATATGTCATTGCCTCTAAGCAATAGAGTGCCGTTTCAGCTCACAAATATAGAACATGGTCAAAATAGTCCTGCAAATGAGTTTTTTCTGCTTCCCTGTCCAGTGGGCTGAAACATCCTCGGTGCACGTCTGGAGGATGCTGCTGTGGCTGTACCCAGGACAGTGCCTGGGGCTCACACACAGTTGGACTGAGCCCCAGGAGCTGCCAGGGGGAAGCCAGATGTACCATGTTTATGATTAGGCCTCCAGCTGACTGCCCTTGGCTTTTCCCTGCAGGAATACCATCCCCACCTGCCAGCCTGCGTGTCCTCAATAGAACAGGTCACAGTATTGCGGTGTCCTGGGTGCCAGGCTTCGATGCCTTCTCTGCCTTGAACAGCTGCAGTGTCCAGGTAAACATCCATCACCCCCCCTTTGCCCCTGCAACCCCCCTCGCACAGACACAGGTGGAAATCAGTGTTGTTTGGCATGAACCACGTGGATTTCACCAGGCTGTTGGTTTGGGCAAATTGAGTTGGATTTTCCCCACGGCATTGGAAGGGGAAGCTGTCATGCTGTCCCACCCGCACCCTGTGGTCTGGGTGGCCAGGCAAGTTGTGAGGCATGGTGTTGAGGAGTCCAAGTTGAGCAGTGAGCAGAGTCCCCACATGCTGGGACCTGGGGCAGCTGGAGCACCACCGAGGTGGTCAGGAGGCTTGGAAGGAGCTGCTGGAGACCAGTGTGGCAGCTTTGCTCTGCCTGCTGCAAGAGGAGTTGGTGGAAGGGATCTCACAGAGAGATGGGCACAGGCTTTTGTCCTGAGAGAGGGGTGGTTGAGTGGGGAAGAAACAAGGGGCAATAGGAACGGGCAACCCATCTGGGCTCAGCCCTGTGAAGTGTGCAGGAGCAAGCTGCAAGAATCTCCCCTCGGGCGAGACAGTGAGGGTGTCATGACTCTTCATGGAGAGGTGCCCAGAACTGCTCCACGTAGCACTTTGGGGGACTTTGTGAGCTTTGAGTTGCTGCAGGCACATGCTTGTCCCTACTTATACCTCCTGGTCAAACGCTTCCCAACCAAGCATACTTCCTGCTGGGGTTTGGAGGTGGAGGTTTCTCTTGGCTCTTCACGCCTTGGAAGCACTGGGAAGGAGCTGAGGGATTGCCTATCTCCTGGACAAGTCAGGGAACACCATCTCCATCGGTACAGCCCTGCAAATAGGTTCCAACTGCTCTTTCTGTTTGCCATTGCTGGGTTCCACAGTTCAAGCCCAGTGTTTACTCTCTCATGGATAGTTTTTTTTTTTACTGGCTAATCTACACTGCAGCTGAGATAACACGTGGAGAGAGGTGATGTTTGAAGCCAGGTAAAAGTGAAAGGAATTGCAGGGAGGAAAGGTACCAGAGCTAATATTAGCACCACATCCACTGCTGCCTTCCAGTTGGAGCTCAGGAAGTGGGGTGGAGAGCCAAGGAATTTCCTATGACTTAACGTTCACAGCCTGTCATTAGGAAATAGCCTTTCGAATTGGAAAACAAGACCTGATTTCTGGCAAAAACACAGCTGTGACTAAGCCTTTTTTCTCCTGTCCCCTTTGATAATTCTCTTGCTTGGGTAGCATGGCCTACCAGCCAAGTGACTCATTTCTGACCATGCTGGTGCTTAAAAGGGAATTGCACCTGGCAATTTCAAGCTGCTTCAATTTGCAAAAAGCCTAATTTTTCAAAAATACATTAGTCCAATGGATTCCCTCCAGAAGATGAGTTGAGCATTGAGATAGCTGAGGTGTGCTCAGGAGAACAGCCAGTCCCAGTAGTGCTTTCAGAAGTGGCTTGCATGTTCATCTGATTGCTGCTCACCTCCCTCAAAGCATCTAGCAGTGGCTTGGGGATCTTCTCAGCTTTAGGAGTCTGGAGGCTGTTCTCTTTCTTTTTTGCCAGTGTTGATGTTGAGACCATGCTGTGCACCCTGAGCTACCCAAAGGGTATGGTTGTTCCTCAAGCAGAAGGGCAGCTCTCCTGCCACCCCCAAATCGTGCATGGAGGCTTCTTAGAGGACTTGTATGACTTTCTGATTGTGGTTCACGCTGAAACACGTCCTGTGGGTTGTCTTCCAAGTCAACTGTCTCACTTGTGCTGGTGTCCCTCATTCTTGCTCTTCCCTCTTTCCTCTCACCGTCCTGGCTCTGGCCGCTGGTTCATGGTGCTTCCCAGGAAATGAGAGGCTTTCTGGAGAGCTGCAAGGACTGTGTGGGCAGCTACATGGGCACTCAACAGCCACCCCTCTGGGGAGAGAGCAAGTTCTCTTTGTGTAAAATATGTGACTTGTTTTTAGTACGTTTAATTCATCCATCCTGCAAAATGTGACAATGGAGTCTGACGGAGTCTGTGATTAGTCCTGTGATATCTGATGGTGGTAGGTCCCACAGTCTAATGATGTGTTGCATGAAAAAGGACTTCCCTTTTGTTTATTTGGGACTTGTTGCCTGGAAATGTTATTGGGTGCTTCTCTTGCTCCATGTCCCTCTCTCCTCCTTTCCAAAGTGATGGTGATTTCACACATCTCTGCCACGTCCCCACTCCAGCTCTTTCTCTGCATGCCTTGGAGCCCTCACCCCAGGCCCCATGAAGGGCCTGCCGTCAGCTTTCTGCTCAGCAGAGATGAGCCATCGTGCAGGAACAAGGTCCTGCTGGCGTTTGGATGGGAGGCAGAGCTCTGGATCCTGTTTACAGATGTGAAATTCCTGCCGTGCGTCTCACCCCGCAGGTTGTTGCTGACTAATCCCTGTTTGTGGACTGCTTTTTTTTTCCATTAAGGTCGAGGAAGCCGTTCCACGAAGCAACATCTCGCTTCTGCTCTTCAACACCTCGGTGCCTCCCCACGTGTATCACATCCAGCAGCTGGGGCCCATGGCCGACTATAACATCCGCGTTTCCTGCAGGAATGAGGTGGGCTGGTCGGCGTTTAGCCCCTGGATAATCGCCAGCACCACCGAGGGAGGTAGGAAACGAGCAGCCAAGACTGAGAAGGGTTTCCCTGCCGCGGTCAGGCAGCCGTGCTTTGGGCAGGACTCTCGGGGGGAGATGCTCATCTGGAGCCGTGGTCGCTTACGGGGTGGGCCATTTGGACTCTGGTGACTGGGGAAAGGAAATTTACCCAAGGGTGGTCACCTGCTGGAAATATTAAAGGCTGTGGGAAATGCTGTGTGCTCTCTGGGTGAGCTGCAGCTCGTTTTCCATCAGCCTGCTGTGTCCCTGCACCCATCCACCCCCCTCCCCTCACCTTATTTCTCTCGGATTCCTGCAGCTCCGACAACCCCACCACTCAACGTCACGGTGTCGTTCAACGAATCCAGCTCCTCCCTGGAGATCCGATGGATGAAGCCGCCCCTGAGGAGGATCCATGGGGAATTACAGGGCTATCACATCTGGTACAGGTGGCAGAACTCCAAGGGGCTGGTAAGTCACTGGTGGATGGGGAAGAATGGCTAGAGCCTAGAAAAAATCCCATCAGGCATAAAGCAGGGATGTCCAGTTTGGTCTTGGTGCTTCCATACGTCCTTTCTGAGCTTAGTTGCCTGCTGTCTTGTGCTTTTGTCTGGGCTTCTTTAATACAAGTGGTCTCTCTCCTGTGTGTTTATGTAACTCATGGTAATGCCCTAAGTCATTAATATGGGGAAGAAGCCCATATTAATGGGAGACAAGGGCTACCATGGCTCCTATTCTCTAAAACAGAAGTGAGATGCTCTTCCTGATGTTGACAATCTTTGGCACAGCCTTTGGAGTGGCAGTCAAGGTTTGGCAGCATCTCTTGGTACTTTCAGCAATGGAGTGAATTGTAAGATGTTCGGGAGAATTTCTTTCCTGGGTTTTGGATCGTTCCTTACTCAAATGGGATTTATTTCATGCATGAACTCACCTGCAAACCCATGGCACAGAGTTTCATAGCTCAGGGGACATTTTGGGATGGGGGGCCTGTCCACAAGCGTATGAAGTCATCTGGCACAACCTTGCTTGCCTTTCCCAGGATCTGGGAAGTAGCCTTCAGGAATTTGCTAGGGCAAGGTTGGCTTGACTTCTCAGGCAGTCCTGGCTCATCTCAGCTCCTGGGCAGAAGAGCATCCTGTCCGGGCTCTGCCAGAGGTTGAGGAGCCTCTGGATAATTGCAGAGATGTATCCAGCCATCGCCTCTGCGCTGTGGTTTGGTCTTCATCCATCCCAGGCTGAAAGCACAGAGAGGCACCGATGGCCTGAACCCAGGGTGGAAAAAGTGACTCACACGCTATTTTTTGTAGGATGCTGCATTTTCTGTTCTCCTTTTGTGCCTCTGAAAAAGAGTATGCATAGATCCAAACTGAATGAACTCAAGGAAACAATATTATGGTCTTGTGACTTGCATAGGAAAAAAAAAATGCTGACATATTTGTTCTCTCAAGCAGAAGGCAAAAAACAGGACTTGCCCTTTAAGCCCTGGGAGACTATCTTTTGTTGTTGTTGTCGTCGTTGTTGTTTTTTATATATTTCCCCAATCAAATGCTTAGGGGGTGAAATTTCTGCTTGGGTTCCTGGTCAATAGCTGTTGTCATTAACACTGGCTTTCAAAAAGCCCATCTAGTGGGGAGCAAGATCAGGAGGGAGGCAGCTTGTGCGAAGGACCTTGGCTCTTTGCAGACCAAAGGAAGCAGTCGTGGTGGTGTCTGTCCATCAGTTTGTTGCTGATTTGTTTCGTCAGCCCCCAGGTTTATGGGCAGCAAAAATGTGTGTCAGGGCCAGCTGAGGGCAGGGGCCAGCACGTCTTTTTGTAAGGGCTGTTGCAGAATGAGGAGGCACGGGAGCAGCTGGAACCTGAGCCATCACCTTTCTGCAGAGCACCGGGGGCTGCCGTGGGGTCTGGTTCTCCCACGCAGCCCCAAGGGTCTCCTGAACTGATGGACAGACAGCCTGAAGCTCAAGAGCAACGTGCTGGCTGTCCAGGGGAGCTCTGATTTCTCAGAAATACACCCTCTGAGTTTTGGCCCTTCACAGGCTAAAATGTGAAATGCCCCAAAATAACCTTTGGTTTAACAATCCAATAAAGGCGGGGGGTCCTGTATTTCTGTACCAGCAGGGCCACCTGCAGGCCTCTTCTTTCTCCACAAGCAGCTTAAAAGCTATTTTAAAAACTTCAAAGAAGTTACTTTATTTTGTTCTTAAACCAGTAGTTCTTGTTTGAGCCAAAGCTGCCGGAGCTGCGACGGGAAGGAATTCCTCAACTACCGCAAGACTCATAAAAAAACATTAACATTGTGAGTTCTGTCCTGCCAGAAGAGCTGTCTGCTTTGCCAGCACGCTCATGCTCTCCACGGTCTGTTTGATAGATGACACACAGTTTGACAGAGGGCTCTGTCCTCAGATGACCCAGCAGAGCCATGTGTGATACGAAAGGGTCCTGGGGCATTTTCGGGCTGCTGGTGGGGAAAGGATCTCAGGTGCATTTCTCCTGAAGGATGCTGTGAGTGTGAGGTGGAGGAAAGCAGGAGTGTGGAGCGGAGGCAGCAGCTCACACTGATGGCACAGACACGCTCCTGGGGCTGGGGCCACGTTTCACATCCATTTCTGTGGCTTTTTTATGACTGTGAACAGAAACTGGTTCCCTCTGAGCAGCTCTGATTTCCTCCTCCTTGCCCACCGAGCCCCCTCGGCTGCTGCTCTTGCTCGGCCACGTGAGGTTCAGCCAGGGTAAGGAGCTGGGCTCTGCTGGCCACAGCAGCCCACCAGATGTTTTGGATGCCACTGGCCAGCTGTTTTGCAGCTGGGGGTTGGCGGAGAGCAGCAGCAGCACTTTCTCAGCTGAAGAAGACCAGGAAACGACAGGGGAATTTGCAGGGAAAGATTCACTTGTGTTTTTACCAAGGGAAAAAGGTCTGTGCCATGGGGCATGCTGACTCCTGCCTTGTTACCAGGCAAGGAAACACGCCTTAAAACTGGAAATATTATTAGCTTGACGCAAAACCACACTCGGTAATATCTGCCCTAAGATCTGCTTTCTGTGGCAGGGCACTTGAATGATCAAATGAGGAGCACTGTGGCTGAAAGCAGCCAGAGATGCCCTGCAGAGGAGCAGTGGTGGCAAGTGCCAAGGCTGGCACGAGCACTGCCATCCCTGACTGGCAGCAGAGAGGGGTGCCAGCCTCCACTGGCAAAGCTGGGGGTCAAAACGCATGTTACCACCAGCGCATGAAATGCCTGTCCCCCTTCCCTGTGAGATCGCTTTCCTGCCTCTTTTCCAGCTCAGGCTGCTGGTCATGCTGCTGCTGCCAAGCAAAGAGACTCCACCACCTCTCTGGGCAGCCTGTTCCAGGGCTCTGCCACCCTCAAAGTAAAAAGGTTCCTCCTCATGCTTAGATGGAACTTCTTATATTCAAGTTTGTGCCCATTTCCTCTTGTCCTATCACTGGGCACCATTGAAAAAGGACTGGCCCCATCCTCCTGACACCCACCATTTAAGTATTTCAGACATTGATCAGATCCCCCCTGAGTCTTCTCCTCTCCAATCTAAAAAGACCCAGGTCCCTCGGCCTTTCCTCATCAGAGAGATGTTCTAGTCCCCTCATCATCTTTGCAGCCCTTTGCTGTACCCTCCCCAGCAGTTCCCTGTTCCTGCTTTAGCAGGGGAGTTGGACCAGATGATCTCTAGAGGTCCCTTCCAACTCTGACAGTTCCAAGAGCTCCAGCAGCACGAGGTCTGAATGGGAAGCACCCCCCAGCCCCTCTCCAGATTCCACCCTGCTCTTGTAGCCAGGGCTGTTCTTCTCCGTAACGCAGCTTGATGCTACGTTTCCTCTGGATTTGTTGAAAGCAAAGCAACGCAGACGTTTGACAAGGGGATCTCAATAAATCTCCAGGTTTCCGTCCTGCTGCGGGGACGGGACGCTGTCTCCCCGAGCCCAGCCTTCCCTTCCCTTCCTCTCTCCAGCAGAACGTCTCCGCCGAAGCCCGGCAGAACGCCAGCGTGGCCATCCTGCCCGTGGTGGCCACCAACGCCACCTGCTCCGTCCGCGTGGCTGCTGTCACCAAGGGGGGAGTGGGACCTTTCAGCAGCCCAGTGGAGGTCTTCATCCCTGGCGGTGGTAAGGAGATGCCCGTCCCTGCCCGTGCAGCGTGCGTGCAGGGGTGGGTGGTGAGGAAGTGGGCAGGATGTGCTTTGCTTGCCCAGCCAAGGCCATTTGGCATCCCTCCAGCCTCTCTCGGATGCTTTCCCTGTCGGCCAGGCTATGGGCCAAGAATCTGGGACCTTCAGCATGCCTTGGTAGCCAGGAGAGACTTCCTCTCTGCATGCAACCTTGATCCTCGTGCCCTCTTCTCCCGTCTAACCCTTTGGGCTTTACTGGGTTTGGTTTCAGCCCCTGGGCAATCCTTCCCCAGTCCCTGGGTGCTGCAGGCTGACCCTTTCACTGCCTCCATTAATGGGATATTTTCTTAGGATTAATAACCTCCGCCCCCTCTTCGACTCCAGCCTCTGGGAACGCGGACTCCTTTGTCATAGCCCTGGGCTTTATCTGTGGGACAATTGCTGTGGGGCTGATCCTCTGCTTGACTGTGGTCATCCAGAAAAGATGCGTGGAAACAAAATACGGGTAAGCCAAAGGGAAAACAGCTTGCAGAGGTGGCCTCAGCTGGCCAGGTGGCAAGTGTGTGGGGCACAGACAGGCAGGGTGGGTGGCCAGCTGGACCCATGCTGGCCCATGGTGGCCAGCAGCCCATGCTGGATGTGGGTGGAAGACTTCTGCCTCCAGTACTGACGTCATTCCCACAAATGGCATTTTTGATGCCCACGGTGAGAGACTGAGTATATTTTTACTGCAGCGAGGGTACTTCCCCCTCTCTTCTTCAGCTCAGCACTTCACCTTTCACTCACTTTTCCTATTTTTTAAGGGAAGTAAGCTTGTGCAACTTGGTTTGGGAGGGTGGCCTTGGCATTTTGACACAGAGGTGAGAGAGCAGATGTGTATAATATCCTGTTTCCTGTGGCCTGGAGAAACCCCTCCTGCCCCATCACATGCCAAGATCTGTCTGGGTCCAATGCCTAAGTGTGGCACCAGCCCCGTCGGGCAGAGAGACTGCCACCGGGCTGCATAAGTGGTGTTTTAGTGATGTGGACAAAGGACTGTTTTCTGCTACGATGAGCCGATGCTACTCACTCAGCCTTGTGACTTTCTTCAGTGGCATTTAGCTGCCCTGTGCTACTGTTTCCATCAAACAATTGTGGTGGGAGCTGCTTTTCTTTAAAGCGCTACCACTTGGATGTCTCCTGCCAAACGGGAAATGTGACACAATTAACTCCTTTGGAAGAGCATCATTTCAGCAAGGGAGATTGCTGAGCTTGTAAAGGAATCCCACCTGCTCTCATCTCCCATGGCATCACCTCCATCCCAGTCTGGAAACTGGTAGTACGTTAGGAACCCTTTCCTAACTGGTGTAGCACTGTTGCTCTGCCCTTGCAATGGTAGCTCCTTGGGAGCTCTTGAGCCTCTGCTGTGCTTTTGTTTCCCAGAGCTGGACCTCTGCACGGTCCCATACTCGAGGGGTTGCACAGCATCTCCCAGCAGCATCCCCATCACCACTGTTTTGGGGCCATGGTGTGGAGCTCCCTTTAGTGTCTTTTTGGCTAAAGGGTAGGGGTTGCCCATGCTAACGGAGAGCATTGTCAGGCTGGAGTTGTGCATCAGGCGAGAGAAGAGATCCCTTTAGGAGCTGGTAGATCTGGGCACCATAATTCTACCAGTACAGGCTGCGCTCTGAGTAGGAAATGAGTATCCCATTTCCTCCCCCAAAACAACCTCCGTGACTCAGTCCTTGACAGATCAGCCTTGTTTATCAAGTGGCTGTTTTGCTTAGACCTTGTAAGCAATGGCACTGATCCAGCAAGAGGGAAATGAAAAAAGCTTAGGGTGAACCTACGTTTCCTTCTTCACTACTGATACCCCTGGCAGGGCTGTGGTTGCCCACCCCTGCAGTGGTTGTTCCTATATGGGAGGAGAAGCAGCCACATGTGGCCCAGCATGGTCTGTTTCTGTCCCTCCAGGAATGCTTTCAGCAGAAACGACTCGGAGCTGGCAGTGAACTACACGGCCAAGAAGTCCTACTGCCGGAGAGCTGTTGAACTTACACGTAAGTCTATTTTTTTTTTTCCTCTGCAAGGAGGTTGTCACAGCAGTGATTTGTCTGCAGGCTGGAGGTGACCTGAGCTTCTCTTCCCCTCTCCCACAGTCAGCAGCCTGGGCGTCAGCAGCGAGCTCCAGCAGAAGCTGCAGGATGTTGTCATAGACAGGAATGCTCTCAGCCTGGGGAAGGTCCTAGGAGAGGGTGAGTGCTGGGTCTGGACACCTGGGGATGGACATAAGGGGTAGGGGCTGCCACTGTTACCTACATCATCCCCCAGCTCCAGGCCCAGGGGATGTGGTGGGTCAGAATGACCAAGACCCAGGACCCCTGGGTCTGTGTCCTCCTTCTGCCACTGATGAGACACAAGCCTCCCTGTCGTAGACTTTTGGGGACAACGTCTCTGTTTTAGAGCATTTCAGATCCTCAGTGACACAGTGGTGTCCTGAAAGGCGGTGCTCCGTGCTGCGGGTAACGTACTTGTTCTGTTCCACAATATAGACCAAACATTTTACAGTGAGGATCCATTCCACACTGATTTGGGCATTTCACATCAGCTGGGAAGACCTATTCACTAGTGTGAAATAGTTTCATCAGTATTAGCATTTATGCTTAGTAAGGTATAAACATTAAATGTATGACACATTTTCAAATCAAGATATTGCAAGAAAGAATGTTTACAAAATAAAGATGATAAATATTAATGTAAGGAATAGATGTATACTCATTAGATGCATACCTGCACACTGGCTGCTACAACTGGAGACCCTGAGGCAGAAGATGGTCTGTGTGGAGTTGACAATTGTTTAGTAGCACCCTGTGTTCCACTTCCTGCTCCCCCAGACAGACTAGTCCTACTAGCTCCACTTGAGTTAAGGTTACTGCCTCTGCTGGCAGGTACATTCATTCCAACTCCACACAAATTGTTTTTACCAACAGTTCCAGAAGGAGAAGAGTTGGGCAATTTTGAAGAAGCCTGAGGGTTCTTTGCAGGCTGAAGGCCTGAGGTGCGATTAGAGGGCAGCAAATTCATTGTGGGAGACTGCCTGCTGATATTTACACCACTGGTCTGTTTATGAAGGGGGTTGTTGCTGGAGTGACTACTCTGGGAAACTAGTGCACTTGAACTGGAAGAACTGGGTGTTGTTGCAGGCCTGGGGGATGAGGTGGACTGTGCCTGTTTTGGGGACAAACCTGCCTTTGTTTTTCAAGAACACCAAGAGGACTTGGTTGTACTCTTGCTTCTTGCCTTTGTAAGGTGGCGGCAGTGGAATCCAGCTCCACAAAAGCTTGTGGAGTTCTCACCTTCCCTTCTCCAGGCTGAACAAGCCCAAGTATCTCAGCTTCTCCTTTTACACCATCTCCTCTAGCCTCATCTCGGTGATCTCCCCTGGGCTTGCTCCAACACATCATTGCCTTTCTCCTACTGAGGAGCCCCAAATGGGACACAGTATCCAGATGTGGCCTCACCAGTGCCAAATTAATGGGAAGAGTAGCTTCTCCCGACCTGCTGGCTACACTCCTGCTAAAGCAGCCTGCTCTAGGTTGGCCTTTCTTGGCCCAAAGGCAACACTGCTGAGCCACAGTCAGCTTGGTCTATGCCCGAGTCCTTCTGTGCAGAGCTGTTTTCTAGCCAGAAGAATGTGATCTGAAGGCAGCTGGTGGGAAAGGCCACGAGGAAGGAATGTCTATTTGCAGACTGTACTCCAGAGACGTGGAAGGAGGAGGTGGGGGTGTGAGGGGTGCTACAGCAAAGCCCAGAGACAGTGCTTGGTGTTATTTCTAAAATAACTGGCCCCACATCTGCAGCTTCTGCAAGCTTGTGATTGGGTGCATTTTATGGTCCCAATGGGGATGAGAGAGTCCACGGTGGCTGCTGCTGCGGGCTCCTTGTGCTCTCTGAGGTTAGGGAGGCCACTAGGATGTCGGATCAAGCTAAATGTGCTTCCTAAAGGTCTTGCAGTGTCTAACCTGCCCCTTCCCTTCCCAGTTTGTGCCCCTGCAGACGCTGGTGAAGTTCATGGTCGATATCGCCCTGGGGATGGAGTATCTGAGCAGTCGGCAGTTTCTCCACAGGGATTTGGCAGCTCGAAACTGCATGTGAGTTTGTTTTCCTCTGCCCCGTCCTGGATGGATGGACACCAGTGGAAGCCCTGTGGTTTTACAGCACAATTTGGCTTCCTTCAATCAAACCTCCTTCCGTCTTGAGAAACATGGAAACATAGAACCATAGAATGGTTCGGGTTGGAAGGCACCTCAAAGATCATCCAGTTCCAACCCCCCTGCCCTGGGCAGGGACACCTCCCACCAGACCAGGTTGCTCCAAGCCCCATCCAGCCTGGCCTTGAACCCCTCCAGGGATGGGGCATCTACAGCTTCTCTGGGCAACCTGTTCCAGTGTCTCACCACCCTCATAGTAAAAAATTTCTTCCTGAGATCTAATCTGAATCTTTTTTCTTCCAATTTAAAACCGTTTCCCCTTGTCCTATCATTACACCTCCTGGCAAAGAGTCCCTCCCCAGCTCTTCTATAGGCACCCTTCAGGTATTGAAAGGCCGCTATAAGGTCTCCCTGGAGCCTCCTCTTCTCCAGGCTGAACAACCCCAGCTCCCTCAGCCTGTCTTCATAGCAGAGGTGCTCCAGCCAGTCCATGAAAAGAGCTCAGCCTCGGGTTTTTGCTTCAGAAGTTGGCACACCAAACGTTTCTGTCTTACCATCCCTGTTTCCACCCGACAGGTTACGGGACGACATGACGGTGTGCGTGGCGGACTTCGGTTTGTCCAAGAAGATTTACAGCGGGGATTACTACCGCCAGGGCCGAATAGCAAAAATGCCAGTGAAATGGATTGCCATTGAGTCCCTGGCTGACCGTGTCTACACCACCAAGAGCGATGTGGTAGGTCCACAGGGCTGGGTAGCCAGGTGGCAGGAGGCAAGAGCTGGGGACCCAGCCCTGGGTTGAGTCGTCTGCCCTCGCTGCGCCTCATTTTGTGCCCTGGAGTGCAAGGCTGGAGGAGCAGGAGGCTGTCTGTCACAGGACAGGCTGACCTTTTGCTGCCTGCCCAGTGTCCTGGAGTAGGTTTGTTGAGCGAGCTGCTTGCCTCTTCTATGGCATTGCTTATTATTTCCAATTTGGGGGGAGGGCAGGACTGGTGCCACAACTCTTAGCATTGTGTGAGGGCCCACTGGACGCTGGGCAGTGACCTTTCCCCGTGAAAAGCCTCATTCATTCCCCCTGGAAATGTCCTTTCAGTGTGCTTTCCCTTTGTCCTGGCAGTGGGCATTCGGCGTTACCATGTGGGAGATAGCGACCCGGGGGATGACGCCGTACCCAGGAGTGCAGAACCACGAGATCTACGAGTACCTCTTCCACGGGCAGCGCCTGAAAAAGCCCGAGGGTTGCTTGGATGAGCTGTGAGTATTGCTGGTGTTGCTTTTTCTTTGTTGGTGTTGCTTTTTCTTTGTTGGTGTTGCTTTTTCTTTGTTGGTGTTGCTTTTTGTTTGTTGTGCGGGTGTCTATTTTTGTCAAAGTGAGGTTGACGGTTGGACAAGATGATTTTGAAGGTCCCTTCCAACCTAGAAGATTCTGTGATTCTGTTGTAACCCTGTTCCTGGGCTGTGGCACAGCCTCTTTGCCCTCTCTCTGCCTGCAAACGACCTGTGCCTCTCTTGACCCTGGCCGAGGTGGATCCTGGGGGGTGCTCTTTGGGCTTTGTGGCTCTTGGTTGCTGATGTCCTTTCTTTTAGGACACAACAACTGCTCATGCTGTGGATTCGTGGCTTAGTGCTGAGTGGGGCTGAGAGCCTGCAAGGCTCTGCATGATGGTGCAATTAAAGGCTGTGCCAGCATGGCCACGCTCCCACCTAGCTCCAAACCTGCTTCTCCAAGTGGAGTAAGACAGGTCTGTACCACAGAGGGAGTCACCTTCCACCTCACCCCCTCCGTTTCTCCCACAGTCCCCAGAAATAACAGTTACTAAAGACTGATTAAAAAAAAAAAAAAAAAAAGCAAGGATTGCAAGTATTTAACCTTTTCTTCCTTGTGGGGTTGGCAGGTGGCACATGCAGGTTTGCTCTCAGAAGAAAGCTGGCCAGAATAATGGAGTGGGTCAAATTGTAAACAAAAGTGCCACATAATGAAAAATTTCAAATCCTTTAATATTTGCATCATCTCTCGAGTTTTGACGTGCCTAACAAAAGCCAGATCCCACAGCAGCGTATCACCCCGGGAGGAAAAAAGCATCTTTTTAACTGGAGGCAAACAGAAACCTCAGCAAATGTCCTGGGAGAAGTTGTGGGTCTGGCACGGAGGGCTTATGAGTTGGGCTGTTGGCACCTGGCGGTGTGGGGCAGGTGGAAAGTGCTGAGGTCACCTTGGTGGTCCTGGGAGGACAGGAGCAGTGCCCTCTGCACTTTGCGGTGGAGGAATCGGGCATTTTAGTATTTTATTTTATTTATTTCCTTTTTAGCCTGAAGGTCTTGGCTGGTGATGCTCTCCTCTGCCCCACAAAACACCCTCTTTGTTACTCAGGGCCCTTCAGGGCCTAAAATCTATTAATCTGAACAGGAAATATGGAAACCTCAAAACTGCATTTCTGAGCAGCTCAGCAAAGGTTTTTCTCCTGGGTTTTTCTCCGGTGCTATTACAGTTGAAAATGTTTAACTCCCCCATGGCTAAGAGCTGCAAATACAGACCCAGTTACCCTGGCAAAGCTGCTCTGAGTGGCACAAGGTTCCTACAAGGCCCCTCTCCAGTGAAGGGAGGTCCCTGAAGGAAGCAGCAAAGGAACCTTTTATCAGATCCAGCCTGCTGGAGGGCAGAGGAGGCTGCGTGTGCCCAGCAGTGATGTCCCTGCAGGGGGACGCTGGGCATTTCCAGTGTGCCTGCGAGCAGGCACCTGCAGGAAGGACTTGGTGGAGAAGAACTGGGATGTTGCTGGGGGGCGATCAAAGGGCTGGCTCTGCCCGGCCCTCAGTGAGTGCCAGGCATTGGAACAGACAAATAACAGCAGCTTGGGCTGATCAGTCGCAAACAGCCTGAGGAGGGGAGTTGGTTTTGCTTTGTTTTAATGCAAAGCAGCTCAGGGCTTGCCCAGTTTTGGAGAGGAGCAGGGAAGTCCAGTTTTGGGCCCCCTACCATAAAAAAGACATTGAGGTGCTGGAGCGGGTCCAGAGAAGGGCGACAAAGATGGTGAGGGGTCTGGAGAATAAGTCTTGTGAGGAGAGGCTGAGGGAGCTGGGGGTGTTCAGCCTGGAGAAGAGGAGGCTGAGGGGAGACCTTATTGCTCTCTCCAACTCCCTGAAAGGAGGGTGTAGAGAGGTGGGGGTTGGTCTCTTCTCAAGTCACAGGCGACAGGACGAGAGGAAATGGCCTCAAGTTGCGCCAGGGGAGGTTCAGGCTGGATATTGGGAAAAATTTTTTCACGGAAAGGGTTATCAGGCATTGGAATGGGCTGCCCAGGGAGGTGGTTGAGGCCCCATCCCTGGAGGTGTTCAAAAGCCGGGTTGATGTAGTGCTGGGAGGTCTGGTTTAGTGATGATGTTCCTTGTTTGTTGTGTGGGTGTCTATTTTTGTCAGTTAGGTTGACGGTTGGACAAGATGATCTTTAAGGTCCCTTCCAACCTAGAAGATTCTGTGATTCTGTGAATTAGCCCCTGTACATCCTGTAGCCCAGCACCTGGGAACATCCTCTGTGATAACCAGGCTCCTGTCTCCATTTCCAGGTATGAAATAATGTCTGCGTGCTGGAGAGCCAACCCTGCTGCCCGCCCGACCTTCTCACAGCTGAAGGTTCATCTGGAGAAGCTGCTGGAAAACCTGCCCACCGTCAGGGGCTCCGGGGACGTCATCTACATCAACACCAGCCTGCCCGAGGAGAGCCCAGACTCCACACAGGATTCGGGCTTCCCCCAAGGGGACTCTGATTTGGACCCTGGAGATGTTGCTGAGCCCTGCTCTCCTGGAGTGGAGGCAGCGCTGGTGGCTGTGGATGTCCACCACAACGAACAATGGGGGACGAGGTACGTCCTGGAGGAGCAGCTCGGTGGCCCCGTGGAGGAAGCCTACATCCCTCTGCTGCCCAGCAGGGTGGCCGGCGAGGGCTCAGGGTGGACCCAGGCCAGCACCTTGCCCAGTGGCAGCTCACTGGCCCCGGGGCTGCCCTGCACCCATGGCTGTGGGGAGGACTCCGAAGAAGTGCTGCTGTGAAAGGGGCAGCCTGTGCAGAGCGGGGTGTAAACGGGCTCGGGGAGAAGGACAGAGGGTGTATATTTTAATAAATGGTCGCCTGTTCACAGAATCACAGAATCTTCTAGGTTGGAAGGGACCTTGAAGATCATCTTGTCCAACCGTCAACCGAACTGACAAAAATAGACACCCACACAACAAACAAGGAGCATCATCACTAAACCAGACCTCCCAGCACTACATCAACCCGTCTTTTGAACACCTCCAGGGACGGTGCCTCAACCACCTCCCTGGGCAGCCCATTCCAAGGGCTGAGAACCCTTTCAGTGAAAAAAATTTTCCTAATATCCAGCCTGAGCTTTCTTCCCCCATGATTCTCACGGCAGAGCCTGGCCCTTCCCAGGAGCTCTTTCCCGGGCTGAAGTCATGGGGGGTTTGTAATTAAATGCTGTAATTATGTTTTCTGTATTAGGTATTTGAGCTCACGGGGAAGGGGCAGCTCCCAGCTCCCCCAGGGCCAGGGTGGTCAGTGCTGAGGTGTGGGGCACACAGCTGCCCTGTGCCAGCCCTCCTGGGGTCGGCTTCCCACCCTCCGGGCTGCGCCAGCACCAAAAGGCAAGGATGCATCTGGCCTTGTCTGGCCATTTTTTTTTTCCTTTTCTCACCATTTGCTGTGGCTGTTGTGATGGGCAGCCCCTGCTACGGAGCCCGCTGGGGGGTTTTGTGCTGTAAGACATCTCCATTGAAAAGTGGAGCCCGAGCAGGAGCAGCGGGTGCTTCGAAATCCCCCTTTTCCCAGACAGCAAATTTCCATGTGTCCCGGTTGTGTGCTGAGAAAACCATGGGTGCTGTTGGAAGGACGGGGAAACAGGAGGCTGTAAGGGGGTCCCGAGAGGGATGGAGCCACCCTGCGATGGCCTGGCCCTTAACAGTGGCCCCTTTTCCATTTTGGGGGGGTTTCTGCTCTTTCCATGCCAGAGGCTGCTGTACAGCACCCGGCTGCCCCGCCGTGCCCAGCAGATGGAGCCGGGACCCCGCGCACCGCCCCGGCTGCCTCCCGCCTCCCCCGCAGGGTGCTGGGGGTGGGAGGGGGTGCGGGGACCGGGGAGAGGGTGAGGAAGGGGTGCAGGGGCTGGAGAGGGGGTGCAGGGGTGGGAGTTGGGGTGCAGGGACTGGGGAGAGGTGCAAGGGGTGAGGAGAGGA